ATATACATCTGGCATAATAATGTCTGGCACAGTAGGGTTGATATTTTATAGGAGCCCTACACATACCTATTATCACAATTGCTCCTCATGGCAGTATAGCAACTATCAGATATATTTACGTCAGATTTTTCAAATAAGCACATGATGGCTCTGAGAGTTTAAGTTACTTCTTCAAAGTCAAGAGACTTAATGGTCTAAATCTTGATTTCAAATCCAGTGTTCTTTCCCCTTTCCTGCTAATTTTAATAACAAAATGGAGCCAAGAAAATTCTGACCAACTGACCTGAAATCCTTAAAACTGTCATCTGCTGATCATTACATTCGTAAATACTCTTAAAATTCCCTATCATACCTCTTAACTATTTAAATTCAGACAAGTCTGCTTCATTCGATCATAGCTTTCTAAAATGCCTTGTAATGGTTGATGAATTGTTAGTGGCCCAAGTGAATATGTGACACCAGGAAGTACATTGATAGTCATCTGGAACCAGCACTATTATAATTGTAACAATGTAAATAGTTAAAAGTTATTAAAATATTTTAAATAGTGCCATATAGAAGCACTTTTATTTGCTGAACAATTAAAGATACCTTGGCTCTATGAAGTTCAGGAAGATTACATTTAATAAAAGCATAAAAGCACTTGGTGCATCTCAAAGTGTTCTCATAACATATAATTTGGAAAATTAAAACTATTTTATAAACTTTTAAATAGATTTATCTTCAATATAATTGGTATAGTATAAAGGGCACAGGGAATTTAGAATCTAGATTAATAAAACTTGAAAAACAATGATATCCCCCTTGTCAGAATATTAAAATTATTAAATTAATTTTGCACAACACCCAGAGGACTCATTTTATTCTGGACCAAATAAAAAACAAACAAACAAACAAAAACAAAAGCAATTCAAACTTGCGCTACCACTTATCAAGCACTTTCTTCATGCTTTCAAAAGTTCACTCCTATGAGAGTGACCTTGAAAACAGATAAATTAAAATCTTTTTCCAAATGTCAAAAGCCAGAGAGAGCAGCAGGACTAGTTCCATGGGGCCTTCTGATTGGCAACCTTGTTTCCATTCGCATTCTTGCCTCCCAAGGAAATAGACAAAAACAAATGACACTGTTAGGCTTGGTTACCAGCTTCAATTTGTATAGCTCATTTCTCAGTCCTATTACAAACTAGCTTTATGTCTGAAAGAAAGCCATTTTATTTACTAAATTATATGAAATTTGACTTTCTTCTTGTACTGAATGAGGTTATTTTCTTCCATTAATTGCTTCTCTAATGGGACATTACCTCTGGAAGAACATTAGCCCACTGTGTCATTGAAAAGACTCACTGGACCCCCGGGGCCCACCACCTTCCCTTCTTGCTCTCCTGGGCTCCAATTCAGCATTAGAAACTAAAGTGGCCAAATGCTCTGCTTAACTCCTTTGACATAAAGCAGGAAAGGAAATCCTCTGGGTTGTTCATTGACAATAACAATATTAATTCACACAGCCTATCTTCTCTAAGTGCAAATGCATATGGAGTTGATTCAATAGAAACGTTGAAAAGAGGCTGACATCAACAAATTAGAGCAGACTAGATTAAAAAGGACGTGAGAGAGGCTGACGGTGTCACAGCCTACACTGAAGACAGGTTTGTGGAGACCTTCCTGTAGAAGTGAAACTAGTAGTCACCCACACACCCACCCACCCACCCACACACACACCCATGCTTTATTTTTAGAAGGTACACTTCTCTAATGAAGGATGACTTATTAGCACTTCACCAGAGAGAGAAAATGTAAGCAGATGCCTGTAAGTTCAACTAATTAACCAGGCAATTCACCTCCCTCTCCCCATGATTTTGGCTTAGGCAAGTGTTCTGACTGTATGGTTGAACTGGATTGCAAAAGAGATGAACAGCTCTGTTCTTACCTTATAGTTTCATACAAAAATCCTTCTATTTCATACATATAAGCATCCAGTAATAGATGTTTATTATAATCACACTTAAGTAATTTTTAAAAAGGAGAAGACAATAATTTTAGAAAGCGTTAAAGCTTCAGGAAAGGAGCCCATACGTATTACGGTTTGGGAATTGGGATTTACATAGATCCAAACAGCAAATGCACTGTGAATCACAGACTCAGGTTATTACTTGAGATTTATGATGACAGAGACTGTGACCAAGTTTTGAATACAAAGAAAAATAATTGCCGAAGTTAAGAGTTATAGAATCTCCTTTCCGTTGACAACTAAATTCAGACTTGACAATTAAATCCCAGCCTTACTTCATTAGATATTAATCTTGCAGTGGAAATGAGAGGCTTTTAAAGAAGCATTTCTGCTATAATAAAAAAGGCTCTCACTACAGTAGAACAATAATGTTGTGTTGAAAGTTAGAACTATTAGACCTCGTTAGCTAATTATGGTATTGGCAACCACTTAAGTTGCTCAGTTTTTCACTTCTGTCATTTTCTGCTGTTCAACTGCTACAGTTCAAAACGTTTTGACTACTTAAAAGGGAATACATCACCGTTGCCTTTCCCCAGTCTAACTGCACACCACTTTCCAAAGCAATAGCTTCAATCATGCTTCATAAAATCCCCTGCAAGTATATTGTTGGAAACATAAATCAGCAAGCTGGGATTTTAGTATTTCTAAGGCAAGCCCAGGGATCACTAACTGGAGGCTTTTCCACGACCCCATTTATAAAAGAATAAACAAAATTATGAGTTACACTAGATGCCTTTTTTTAAAAAACTGCTCCAGTGGTGTGTCTGATACTTGCTTCTGCATCCTTAATTGGAGGACAAAACACTAGCATAGCAGAATTGGACTCCAGGATCAGGATTGCTGTTTCCCAGCATCTCCGACTTCATTAGGACACATGGCACAGAAGTACTACATGTTCAGTTTCACAAAAGCTAGGTCTCTCTGATATGCATCTACACCTCTATGAGTGCCATGCATTTTTAAATCGCACTAGATAGATATGTAGAATGATGCTCTCCTCCTTCCCTGTTTCATTACAGTGAATACAGGCTCCCTTTCAGGCATGCTTTAGTGTTAGAGCCCCTCTGTACAATCACCCTGCTTTCTGAATTATAAATTAGGGGAATCACAATTTCAGGTATGTCACATATACAGCCCCAAATTAAATTGTGTCTGCATATAGTACTTAAACATTCCTAGATTTCTCTTTTGTCCCCCTAATTCCAACACACTTAGTGTCCATAAATGTAAATTCACAGACTCCACCACGGAGATATATTTCTTCTCCAAACCAGGCACAATGTAATCGTAAATCTGCATAAACTTGCTTTCTATTATGCCCCCATCTTACTCCACACTAGCTACACTCAGTTAATTGCAGTGGTATTTTAACTGCAATTTTCAGGGACTGCTTCTTAGGATTCACTAATACCTGTCTATGTTATAAATGAACAGTTAAACATAAATCAGCAGCTCTGCAAAAATAAAAGCAGCATATCTGTAGGGCATAAAGTATATGTTGATCTTTGCTAAAATAGTGATTAAATTAACCAGGCTAATATCAGCTTCAGATGGATATATCTGCAATTTTGCTATGACTGAAATTTTGCATACTTTATATTATTAAGGGGAAATGAGTAGCATCTTACCAAGACACTTTATAAACTATAGCAACATTCAGTTTTGCATTCTGATTTCTGAACATAAAATCTGCATCCAATCATGTTTCATCAGCCACTAACACTATATAGCTTTAGGGAGGTGAGGGCAGAGAAAGGAAGGCTTCATATCCAAAATGTCAAGCCCTGCTGAAGAATGATAGAAGGACCCAGTGAGTGTGGAAGAACAGAAACAACCATTTCTGGGTTTAAAATGGAGTTCTACCACCCCCTGCTGGACCAAATGAGCAACACAAAAGAGGCTAGAAAATGCTTAGAATCGAATATAGTGGAGATATTTTAACTTGTCTTGTAATTTATGTTTTCTCAAAAAACAATTTTCACACCATACTAATAATATAACATCCTATGCAACTACCACACGTCACAAAATTACATCTATTTTCTTTTTCTTTAAAGACTTCCACCAATGCATGTTTTAGCATTTTGTGTTCCCAATTAAATGTCCAAACTTGTCTGGACAGTTGAAAATGCTTCCATTTATTATAAATATATTTTATGTGAACGTGAACTATCCAAACAAAGCAAGATAAATTCAGATCTATCTCTATATAAACAGAGGTAGCTTCCACAAATTCTCTCAGGTTATTTTAATAAGCTATTCATTTTTTTTTTTTTTCCTCAAGAGGTAAAAATCTCACCAGTTCTCCACAAGCTAAAACATCCCTTACAGGTGTAATCACAATCTGACGCTATAAAAATTTTCAACCTTGATGTATTAACAAGTGTGGGGGGTTGCTGAAAATGAATGACTGCAACACATGCCTAGTTTTATCCATTTGCCGTCTTACACACAACATCCATGGCCCCTCTCTTAGTTTCAATAGAAATAAACCATCATCGTTCACTTCCTAGTCAGGAATTGGGGTCTTGGGAAAGGGGGGGAAAAAGAGTCTCTAAGAATTGAATTTCTTGCACACGAGAGAGATGTCACAAACGAGTTTAATGCTGATAGTTTTTTGCTGGCTTCTGTAAAAAATCGTCGTTCCCTTTCCTTCCTCAATCTTAGATATTTAACTGTTAATACACACCAACATACTCATCCAATTTTTGATAATGAAAATCAGAGCAAGCCAAGATCCCAGAAAAAGAAGCAGTTTGCCTCGATCTCCTGCTCACTGATGCCAATCTCCAATTCTGTATTTTCTCTTATTTAAGGGTCTCCACAGAACAGATACAATTTTTAGCGGCAGCTAAAATAAACAGTGAAAATAACAACAACAGTAACTATAACTTTAGTTCTTTCATTTAATTCTTCTTGTATCTCCCTCTGCCTCTCTTGGTTGGGTGGAAGGGGGAGGGAAAGTAAATGCAATAAAGCACCACACTCCTACCTTGCCCGCTACTGACAAGCAACCCGAGCAGGTAGAAGGAGAGGAGGAGGCTCATGTTCAGGACGTGACACTGGAGGACAGTTCCAAAGTTATTAAGTCCAGCCCTGGAGAAAGAACCTTCCGCTGCCACGGCCGCCTCAGCTAGAGCCGCCGCCGCTCCCGGGGTGCCCCAGCCGCCCGCAGCCCGCGCGCTCCTCCTCGCAAAGTGACTGCAAGCTCCGCTCCTTGCCGCACTATATCCAGGCAGCTGCGGCGGCGGCGGCAGCACCAGCAGCAGCGGCCGCCGCGGCGGCAGCACAGCCGGGCGGGGAGGGAGGC